CGACCAGTTCCAAGTATGATTCTCTAAGATAGAATCTACTTCACTCTCGGTAGCCTCTCTCGGGTTGGTCCATCTGTAGAAGTCACCACTTCTACATACATTTGAAGCTCGTTTTCTAACAACCATGTCAGAAAATTAAATTTATTTTCTAGTAAACAGGTTAGAATATGCGTGTCACATTCTAGCATGTACGTCAGAAAATCTGGACCAAAGGATTTTTCAATCCTAGCTCTCTTGCTACGTCTAGCTTTGAGCTCGGGTTCTCTTTCATACCCTTCAACCATAGCTACGCCGAAAGTTCCTTTCAACGTGCTAGGTCCTTTATTGATCCTTCACAAAAATACATCTTCCAAGAATGATGAATTTCTTGAATCAATCTTTCGTGTTCTCATGTACATCCAAACTCTTGGACTCGTGTACTAAGAACCAATACACACCTTTGGCAAGACACCCCCACATTTCAGGCATTAGTAGGAAAGCTTCCTACGTACCCAGAATTCGTAAGAATTTCATGCGGGTAACCTTATTTAAAAGGTACTTACTTGTCCAAAGTATTGTCTCACCCCACATACTTTGAGGTAGACCCGAACTTATCAATGTCTTGATATTTATGTTCGGCAACAACTCTCGATTGAGGTGAATACCGTACCGTACTCTTGAGTACAATACTAACGCTTGTGCCGAAATCACCAAAAGGTGTTTCACGTTCACCACATCGATCGTTCATAACCGCATTAATCCACAATTAATTTGGTTATCCTTTTATTCTTATAAAGAATAAACATGTGCTACACGTTAGCACATCTCGTAGGTGCGAACAGATCAGCACTTACGAATCCATTCGGGATTGACCGAAAGGCCAAGACCACGAATCAATGTTTCGGACGTTGAAGCACGAATCAGTGCTTAGTAGTGAAGCACGAAACGTGCTACACAAAGCATGAATCATTGCTGACAAACTGACGCACCGATTCCAAAGTAATCTCTATTGCTTTAAATTATAAACTCACAACAACCATTGGTTGCTTGACTTATAATTCCAGTGCTACTTAGCACTAGGATTATTAGTTAATCTCACAATTAACCAAAACCTCCTTTCGTGCTAGTCACATAACACTTTTACGACGCTAAATTTAATTAGCCACATACGAAAGGTTTAAGCTAAATAGATTAGCATTAAGACCAATCATAATCTAGCACCTTTATTGTTATTACCAAAGCACAAAATGCTTAAGTTTTCAACACCTAAAGGTGCAGCAACCAAGTGGCCGAAAGTGCCTAATTAGGCACTTTACCTAGTGCTCAATAGCACTCTTACAGTGGTTTAATTTGCACTTCAAAGTGCCAAATTAAATTGCACTTTCCATTAGTGCTACAAAAGCACTATTCACCAAAACACAATTTGTCTCAAATTAAATATACTAGTATAATTTGGAATTTTTGATCAAGTTAATTATAACACAATTAACAAACCAAATCAACCAAATTTCCAAAACTAGTTTAATCAAACTCAAATAATCGTTCTTAGAATATTATATAAAATATTCAACACTTGAGCTGTGACGCTCACGATTATATAGTTATCCCAATTTTTGACAAATTGATCCTATTTTGAAATCTGTATCGTTCAACATGAACTAGAACCGAAGTCCTTTTACGGGATTTCAAACATGTAACACGCTTGTTACATTTCGTTCAAGCCGTTAAGCCATTTTAGCATTTTCCACATAATGCTCCGTGATGCACCACGCACCCATATTGAATTATTTCATACATTTGACATTATTCTAAAAAATAATTCGTATGTACCAAAATTCAACTCAATGGAACAATTATATTTTTTATTCAAATAAAAATATTACAAGTATACTACAATATTTATTCAAATAAATAAATAGGAAAAACTACATTGGAAACAAATTCCTTATTCCTATCTCGTAGTAGTCCTTCAACCCGTGTGCCTTGTTCCATTTTCCAACCGTCCACTCCACGAAGGGTGGTCCATAGCGCACATCGGGGGTACCTAGGTTGTGACCTCACTCGTCCAACCATCCACATGTCTTAAACATAGCGAAGTTGTCCTCAACCTTTTCACCAGGATGACGGTTCGCTTTGTAGTGGCATTTCTCCTTCTTCTCATAATCATCTTGAAGGCTAAGCTTCCGCTTGCCTTTCCTTTGATTATCGTTGAAGACATTGGTCACACTACAATAGTCCTCAGACCATATAGTCATTATACCATCATAGGATCCTTCATGGCTTTTAGCCGATCCACTAGACAACAAAATAGGTACCAATTGTGTGCCATTTGTCACTGGTCTACCGGATCGTGAACCAAAGTTCTCCGGAGCACCATCGTGTGTCTTTGCAACTCCCATGGAAATAACATTTCAAACGTTGCTGCCATCAACTGGCATCTCAGAATGTGCAATCTCGTTGCCGCTCCAACCATTTGAATGTGCACCTCCGGCAACATTCACGGATCCAACACTTTTGGAATCCATCGACTTGTTCATTATCAAAATAAATAAGGTTTTAAGATTGTTGGTGATAATGAGCCACACTCGATTTAATATCCGTAAAATAATATTTATATATATACACACGAAATATATAAAAAATATTATTTGATATATATCCGAAATATATATATACACACAAATATATATAAAACGGACCCAACGGTTATATATACATGTATATCTACGAAAAAGATATACCAATATATATCAACCAAAAAGAAAATATAATCCTTAGATTATAATTCCAAATCAACAAGAAAGAACGGATTTTTGCTTAGAGCATAATCCAAACAAGAAAGAAGAAGAAAGAAAGTACGAGTTAGGCAAAGTGCCTGTCTTTCCTTAAAACCTTATTTGCCACCTCCCAAAAGTGCTAGGAGCGTTGTGGCCTAGGTTTCCCAGGATAAAACGTACAACGGTTCGACGTTTGAGCACCCAAACGAACGAACCCGGCGAATAAGAGCACGGGCAAAACACAGCTTCAAGAATGGAGTAGGAGCAGAATTTTGAGAGGAAAAGAGAATTTCTTTGTGTGTGTTCTTGTGTTGTTTCTCACTTTCTTTCTAACATTGTGTTTCAAAAGGTTGCTCCCACAACATGTTTATATAGGAGGTTGATACTAAATAGCATCATCACAACACATTAACCAACATAAATTCAATTTAAAAATTGAATTATAACGTTTGAAACGGTCGTACTTATTATCGAAATAATATCAACGGTCACGAACTTAATATCCGATTAATTCGTACCGATTGTAGCGACCCGTTTCAAATATCTAAGTGACCGAGAAGTCCGTACAAACCCGAAAGGTTAACGAATTGGGACCGAAAACCACACCCGAATGGTCCGCAAAGTACCGAAATGGTGCGGCGCGAATCAATGCATATTGCATTGACTCATGCTTTGCACGAAAGTAGCTCACGAAAGGAGAGCACCAAACCAAAGTTTCGTGCTTACAGAAACCAAAGCTCCTAATTGAGCTTTCAATTTGTACAACACGAATCTTCAAATCCCAATCCACTAATTAAGCAACCAAAGCTTAATTACACTTAAGCTATAACATAACTTTCGTGCAGTACAACGAAAGTTGTTAAAATGCTAATTTTTAATTAGCATTTCCTTAAGTTTTTGACGTTCCTCAAATAGGTTCACTTTGAGAATCAATTTCTCATTCACCTATTACCCATTTTGAGCGTACATTATATCAAATTCTTCGTCTCACTACGAAGAACCCGAATCCACATTGACCTGACCCAAATCGAAAGTGGATCCCACATATATTTGTACCACAAAATAATCACTCAAAATGTCATTTTAATGCTATTTTTCCAACACAATATTATAGGCATTATCAATGGTTTTAAGATGTAGCTAGGTAGGCAATGATGATTATTGGTGATTAACTAAACTAATTTCTACAAATATACTACTTTCTAAATATTTTAAAAATGTCAATATTAAGTAGACCTATTTTTACAAAATTTACTACTTCATAAATTTTTAAAAAATGTCAACATAACTAGATCTGAACTCTAAGGGCATTCCCAATAAGGGGATCTTCACTACATTTTAGAATAGTAAAATCCCCTTGAGGTAGACTTTGACAAATGAGATGAGAGAATTTTGAAAAAATTTTACTCCTGCAAAACCAAAGCTCTTGTCAGTTAAAAAAAATAAATAAATAAATAAAATAAACTGCAGTTTTTTCAGAGTGGCCAGTGGGCCACTCTGAAATTTAATTTTATTGGCCGTTGCCATTTGGCAACGGCCAAATTTTGTGCCGTTGCCATTGCAACGGCACACCTTCTTTATTATTATTATTATTATTATTATTATTATTATTATTATTATTATTATTATTATTATTATTATTATTATTATTATTATTACTATTATTATTATTATTTGCTATAAATATCACATCTTTTACGAATTTTAACACATTTCAATCTACTCCTAATTTATTTTTATATTTCTCTCAAATTATTTTTGTAGTTTAAGTTTTAAGCAATTATTTGTTTAATTTTCATTCTATAACTTTCGTATTAATTAATTAGACGTACTATGTTTATTTTAATTAAGTTTGGAAATGAAATTTTTAAGCAGTTACTTGTTTAATTTTCATATTTAGATATGTTCATTTATAAAACTATAAATTTATAAATCAAATAAATAAAGAAATAGTTAAAATATGGAGATAAAATGGTGGGTCCACAAAAAATTGTGAAAATTTTAAAATTAATGGGAAGAAGAGGTTTTGTAATTAAGTGAGATAGTGGATGATAAGGTAGATGTTGGGGCTCACCAAAATTTGGAGTAAAATTCGTAACTATTGAGGATGCCCTAATGACTATATACTACTTTTGTAAAAAATCATGAGTATTAAAAAAAAAAATCAAAATGAGGTCGGCATCTTTTAGTAATAAAATCGACCCGTAAATATTTGAACCATCTCATCGGATTTGACCGTTTAGATTCAAATTTGAAATCCTACACAGTTCTCCTCCATCTTCTTCATTCATTCTTCAGTCACCAAGCAAACCAAAAGCCAAAACATTCACAAGAAACCATGAAATCACTCGATTCAACGCCCTCCTCTTCTGCAAAATCATCGACCACCATAGATTCTGAAACCAGAGACAGCTGCTATTTTCCGGGATGTCGAAAAGATGCCAACTGCAAATGTGAAATCTGCATAGCCAGCATCAATGCCACCCTTGATCTGATGCCCAAAACCATCCAGAGAAACTCCCTTGGTAAACCCTCCGCCCGTGGAAATCCTCGCTGCAGCCCCGTTTTGTTCGATCCTTCCAGCTTTTCGACGCCCAGATCGAGCAGGAATCCATCTGCTCCGGTGTCTCCTCCCTCGAATTCAAGCGCAAGCGCGAGTTTTTTACAGGAAGTGGAGAGAGATAAGAAGGAATATTGTGGGTTTGGGGCAGTGATGGTGAGGTTCTTGGTAGGGCTAAGCTTGGTGTTTGTGGTGGAATATGGAGTCTCTAGTGTGGTTTCTGGGGTTTTTGAGCCGGAATTGTCATTGGATGTTGTCAGGAAATTGAGTGAAAAATCATGGGTTTCAAATGATTTGAATGAAAGATTGATGATCTTCAGGAATGAGATGGAAAAGTTAGTAGATGATGAAGTGTCAAACTGCAGCAGCTCTTTCTATTCTCAGTGGAAAGTCAACCAGGTCTGTTCTTTCTGCTTCTTCATTCAAAGATCATTTATAACTCCTAAGAATTCAAAATTTTTGTTATGATTTTACAATTTTACTGATTAGATATGGTTTGAGTGGATTTATAGGATGGGTTGCTTTTGAATTCAAGATGCACCTTAATCGAATCCATCACAGAAGAAGTGAGCATTTGGGGATGGCCACTGCAGACTGCTGGATTGCTCACTGCAGGATATTCTTCAAGATCTTTTACTCTATTATCAGGAAGACTTACTGAGGTACTGAACTAATTGGGGGTGGGGGGTAGGGGTTAATCATTTCTATATACTTTTAATTTTGAAACAATTTATGTTCTTATCTAATCTGTATGATTGTTGTTAGATATAAATGTAGTGTAACGATTAACTGAATATAAAATCAATCTACGAGGAAAACCTGACCTCGTAGTGAATGCGGAAGCGGTATTCTTGATGTCTTCTTGTTGTGTGGCCTCTTGAATCGTAGACCTGCAGAGTAATGCACTGCTGGAAATTATAGAATTTTCGACCACCTGAAAGTGATCATCAAGTCGAAAGTCTTGTTCCGACCACTTTTGGTATCCGGAAAAACTTTTGTTGCTATTTCTGATTACTTTTTGCTTTCGACTTGATTTAAGATCACTTTCAGGTGGTCGGAAATTCCATAATTTCCAACAGTAACGGCAGCCGTTTTTGTTGCATACTTGACTCAGAACCTTAGATGGTGTGATCCCATCAATACATGCGGGCATAAAATCTGATCCATCAACTCCTAATTATTCAGTCAAACCAAACTACTTAATAAGTCTAGTCAACTTGCATATTTATATGGAAAAACCAACAACTTTCTCATTATTTATGTGCTTTTTTGTAACAGTGGTCTAATGGGGAAACAAGTTACAAAATAATGAATGTTAATAGTTCATGGACACAAAGAAAATGGAGTTCTTCTGCTGTGCAGTTGGATCCAAACACCTGGATTCTTGAATATAATGAGAGCCCTATCAGGGAAAATGCCAGATTTGTTTCAGCAGTTGTGGAGTTCTTGAAGTTCAGATTCACAAGAGAGTTTGAAATGTTGAAGCAGAAGTTCAAAAGCCAGCAAAGTCATCTCAGAGGAGGGAATTGGAAGAGTTTTCATGTCCCAACCTAAGAAAAATGCTTTAATTTTTCTCTGTAACTTGTCAAGATATAAAATATAATTTGATTCTCATTCCTCATGAGAGGAGCTAGATATTCATCCTTCTTCCATTTCATTGTTTTTGGTATTTCTTCAACTATTCAAAGTTGAGTTTAGATACAATATATGCTTTAGCTTTGTCATCTGGTGTGTTGTATTCTTTTTGTGTATTCATTTAGACCACAACAAACTTGCTAAAATTCCCTCAAGAAACTGTTTAGCTTGATCCATCAAATCACTCCCCATGATTAGCATGATAAAATGATGCCCAGACAGCCCAGTAAAGAAGAAGATGTTAGAAGAGGATCAAAGAAAACTTTTTGTTTTCAAGAACCCTCTATATAGTGAGTTCGGGTTAAAATTTTCATATCCATCAATCACCATACCTTATCTCAAAGCATCCTGTGAAGCATTTCATCAAACAGAAAACGGGCATTCGTACTCAATCAACCCTAGACAACACAATGGTAATAACAAATGTTTTTTAATAGGGTCGTATGAGATGGGTCGGGTTAATATACACATATAATACTTATACTAACAAATGTAATCCTAAATCAAAAAAAATATAATACGACGATGTATATGATTCATATTCTTAATAAGGTACAGAATTTCATAACACAAGACACACAACACAATATACATACACATGTTATATATTTACTTATTTTTCAAATCTGATTTAGGTACATAATTTGTGTTCATACACACAGAATTTCACAACACAAGATACATAAATTCATAAAATAAAACACTATTACTAATTTGTTGTAGATACATAATTTTATAACACAAGACATAAAAACTCACAACATAATTCTATATTGTATATAAGGATTGGAATGGTTTTGCCACATTTAGGATGTGTTTGGTTGGTGGGTTTTGCCCATAGGAATGGGTATGAAAGTGATTGTTGTTGTTTGGTTGATAGGTTTTTAGAACACTACTATGGGTTTCGAATACCCTATCAATTGAAAAACCCATACCCAAATAAAATAAGGGTTTCATTCCCTTATTCATTCTCAAGCACTACTATTAGTAACCATTCTCATTCCACCCTACTACCAAACATGTTAAATACTTTCACCAAAACTCATTACCATTATCAAGTATTTGATACTCATTCCGATTCCGATTCCTATGTGCGAACCAAACACACCCTTAGATTATTGTATGATGAGCCCTATATTATTTGCTACAAATAAAATAATGCCCCTTACAAAACCCAATTGTTATATCATGGACCAAGTTCATTTTGTATTGTGAATCCCGATTTCAAAAATTATATGCACAAAGTTAATATATTATGTACTTTTCAAGATGATTATGGTTCAGTCAAATCGTCCGGTTCGAACCAAACCCTGTACTGTAAGAAGCGAATCGGAATAGGAACTGTACATATGATTTTGGTTCCAGTTCTGGTTCCAACCCGTAAGAAAAAAACAATTTAAAGTTTAACTATTACTCCGTATTTGATTAAATTTTATATTATTATTATTTAATTAATAACAATTATTTGATTAAAGTTTAAACTTTAAATAATAATTTAAAGTTTAACTATAACATTTATTTGTATTTTTTAATTTAACTTTAAAGTTTAAATATTTGATATAACCATTTTAAAAAATTATAATGAAAAAATTAAAAAAAAAAAAAAAAAAAACTAATTGTTGAATTTGGACTTTTTTTTTTTAAAGGAAAATGGTCAAATAAACCCTTGAACTTTAGGCAAAGTAAAATTAGACCTTTGAACTTTAAAAAAGTGCAATTAAACACTTGAACTTGTCAAAATTAGTCAAAATAAGTCAAATTTACCGATAACCAACAGGTTACCGATAATATTATCGACATTGACAATCGTTGACCACCTCTAACTACCAATAAAACGTTAAAAAGCAAGTTTCGGTGACTTTTCCACCGGAGCGGTGGAAAAGGTGACCAGTCCGATCGCCTTTTCCAAGTGGAGAAGGCGAATAGATCGGTCGCCTTCTCCTTCTCCACTAGAGAAGGCGACCAGACTGGTCGCCTTCTCCAAGTGTGTAGAAAGCGACCAGATCTGGTCGCCTTCTCCACCGGAGAAGACGATCGACATGTTGTCTTCTCCGGTTAAGTCATCTAATTTTCTTTAATTATTTTTGTTGCCGGAATTTTTTTGCCGTAATTATTATCGAAAATGTCGCTGGAATCTTTCTGACCGGTTATTCCAATTGAATAACTAGGTATTGGGTTTAGAACTTTAGATGCACCAAAATAACAAGTTCAAGTGTTTAATTGCACTTTTTAAAGTTCAAGGGTCTAATTCCACTTTTGCCTAAAGTTCAAGGGTATATTTGACCCTTTTTAACAAAACAAAAAAAAAAAAAAAAAAAAAGTTGATTAGAACTGGTGAATCAAACTGGAATCAGAACCTTCATCGGGATCCCGGTTTCGGCTCACCATTTTTTGAAATTGGGAATCGCGAGTTCCGAACCATAACCCTATTGGAACTGAACAATAATTTACTCATATGTGCCTTCAGTTAATAAATTATGTGTCTGTAAATAAACTGAAAACACATAATATGTTAACTGTAGACACATAATATGTTAACTACATATTATATGCTTGCAATTAACATATTTTGTGCATACAGTTAGCATATTATGTGCCTTCAATTTGTTTATAAGAACATAATCGGTTAACTGCAAACACATAGTTTGAACGTTATTTTAGAACATTGTTCATAATGCAAGGTGGACCCTGATCTATGATATAATTTTCATACAAAAATATGACACATTAATGAGTAAATTTCAATTTTGGTCCACTGACTATTGAACTTCTGTTAATTGCAACCACTGACTTTCAAAAGTGTTAATTAGTACCTTAACTATGCAGTTTTTATCAATTTTTATCAATTTTGGCCACGCCAACCAAATTACCGGCCAAAAGTGACTGAAAAAAATCAATAATTAATCTTAAATAAAAGGGCAAAGCCATCATTTCATGTTACCTTAACATAAAGAAAGGGATCAGCAACAAAATTACTAGGGAAAACCGGGTTGTGAAGCTGAAGCACATGTCACAATTGGGTTGGCCACTGGATATGCTGCACTCTTATCCCTATGTACATTCGTCTGCCATCCATTTCCAGACTCGGAATTAATAAAGAAAATAAAATAAAAAAAATAAAGTCTCAAAAACTTAAACCTTCAACTCCCCCCCCCCCCCCCCCCCCCCCCCCCCCTCCCAGAACAAGCTAAAGTTTCATCATGCATATTATCCTCAGGCATCATCCCAATTAGGTTTTGGGTTGGCCACTGGATATGCTGCACTCTTATCCCTATGTACATTCGTCTGCCATACATTTCCAGACTCGGAATTAATAAAGAAAATAAGATAAAATAAAAATAAAGTCTCAAAAACTTAAACCTTCAATTCCACAATTATTTTATTTTGATTTTGATGATGCCAAACAAATTAGAAATTTTTAGTCCACAATTATTTTATTTTCTAGACTTAGTAGTTTTGCGAATTGTAAATCCGAAAGGTTTACTTAGAGAATGAATTTTACTAACTGAAAAGTACACTATGTTCGAAAGGTAACCTCAGTATAGTTCAATCTCATAAGGTTAAACAATAACTTTCGAAAGGTCAACTACGAGAAGTTAAAGCTGAAGTCCGCAAAGTCGATGAGTTGAAGACTGGAAGGTTCAATGGTTAAAAAGTGGAATGATCGACCTTACTCGGAATATTGGGGATTGAAAAGTTAACTTAGCAGAGAAGTTAACTTCCTAGAGGTAAATGATTGATTAAGGAAAGTCAAGTCCAAAAGGTTGCTGAGGAAAGATCCAAAAGGTTAACCACGAGAAGTCATCAATTACCTTTTTGTATCTACCGTTCAAACATTCTTTGAATGAACCGTTGTGGTCCTCAAAATCTAAAGTTGCAAGAAGAGTGTTACCAAGAACAAAAGAGTCATAGGTACACATCCCAAGGAAGATTCCTAAAAAGGACTACACAAAAGGTCTGGTGTAGAATTAAAGTAGTCACATCGGCTAAAAATCAGAAAAAGCAACCTGACCCCGTACCACTCATCATTGCATAAATGATAATAGATATTTGAAATTTGTTTCCCTCTACATACACTGCAATGATACCTCTGCCTTGTACGTAAAGAAAAAAAGCATATTGTAGATGATGGATTTAAGTACCCGGGGTGGACCCGAACCACTAAATCCGACTAAGAATGTGTATAATAAAAGGATAGATAAACGAAACGACGTCGTAAAGGCCGTGGAGACGGTATATCGTATTATATGCCGTAAATAGACTATTACAGTGATTTGATAGGACAAAGTATGTAAGAATGATAGAATGTGTCCTTACAAGACAAAGGGAAGGGATTTTATACAAGCAAAAACCCCTCAACCGCCCCCCTAAAATGGAGGGAGGTTGGATCTCCGCGCTGACCACGCCCGGGCAAGACCGGGTCACGGGCCAGCGCGTGTTGAGCTCAGGCATGACCAAGCTCCCTTACCCAAGCTCATTATGACACGAGCTCGGGTACGGCCGAGCTACTCCACCCGAGCCCACCACCTTCGAGATGGCTTGGGCCAGGGTACCTCTCGAGCCGAGGTGCCTTGGGCCGAGCCGTCTAGGGCCGAGGTGTCTTAGGCTCTACCTTGGTGCTCCGGGTCCGCGGTGCTACCCTGGGTCGGTTCGTGTATAATATATCCATCATGAGTCCCCCACTCTCTTCGCTGCGAGAAGTCGTCAACGAATGAGAGTATGCATACACCGACCCGACCTCTAGGCGAAAACACCTTGAGGTCAACATTGGACGACCTCGTTCAAATAAAATTCTATCGCGAATAAAACTCTTCCTCCGCAAAATTCTCTTCAGATGAACTAGAATCCCTACAAAAATGCAACATTTCCCTATAAAAAAACCTTAGAAATCTCCCACATCAAATCCCACCAAATCTCATCAAATTCTCCTCACATCACCTTCAACTTTCTCTCTTCCCAACATCCCCCTTTTTGAATTTCAAATTTTAGTCAACCCTTTT